GGGTTGTTACCGACATCTGGTGAAAATTTCATGTCATTAGCACCTCTAGTAATATACTTACTGAGAAAAATGTTGACTTGTTCAATACTTATTTTACCCGCTGGGTTTGTACAGAAACTTTGAACACCTTATTAGACAATTTGTACTAAACATCAGTCCATGTTTCAGCTCAAATAAAGTACATTTTATTAAACGATGTTTTTAGAACAACAGAGCTTCAAATCATGACACTTTAAAAACTGTAATGTAAAAACAGTTCAGAAGGTTTAGTTTAGTAAAACTGTAGCTCATTGTGTAGCTGTCGTATTAAAAAATATGAATTTTTTTACATAATGTGCAAAATATCTAAGTTCAGGTAAGTGAAACAAAGTGTAAGAATGGATAAGTCATCAAATTATTGTGATTCAATGGTATTATTTTAATTTTCTACAAAAAGGGAAATACATTCAACATCATTCAAACAGGAACTATAAAATGTTTAGGACCTTTCTCTGGCCTCCTTCGTTAAATGTCAACTTTTTTTTCTTGTTGAGCTTCCAGCTTTTGAAGACCAGCATCATCGTTCATTTAAAGTTTACGAATAGTTTGATGATGAATGCATAAAAGAGGCTAATTTTTTAATGTTTTGTATATATCTTTTTCAATGAAAATTATATTTATTTATAAAAATATATAAAAATATATTTATGACAAATATATTTAGGCCCTAAATGCTCCACCAGTCATACCAATGTGTCACTAACTGAACCTAAGGGCAGACAATCATGGGTCTAGTCCAGTCATACCAAGAAATAAAGAAATAAAGTTTACTTCATGCAGCTGGCACCAGAAAGTTTCCCCTTTTCTTCTTTCACAACTTGTGCCAAACTTTCCCAGTACCCACCTGGAACAAAAAGCAACGGACAGTCGGTTTACCTTGGGGACAGGGAGATAAACAAGCTAGCTTGTTTTGACAGAGCTGAATATAGACCTTTACTCCTCTTGACATGTTGCATTGGCCTGCCTTTCCGTTAGAAGCTTATGACATGTATGCATAAATCAGTGTGGACTGGTGTACAGGCCTCTCCGGCTGAGCTAAATTCTCGGCGCAGCACTGCTGTTGAATGAGACATCCAGCTGAGACAACCAGAGATTATGTTGATGCACATCACACAGCAGATGAAACAGGCTAGCTTTTTGTCTCCCACAAACAGACCCAAATTATAGACACAGAACTGAGCTGCGATATGCTTTTTCATTTTTTTAGTCAACCTCTTTTGTTCATTGATTTCTATTGTGCTGCTGTGAAGCCCGAAAAATGCAAAATAGGACTAGTTCAAGGGACAGATTATTTTTCTCTGCTTTTGAATGTGAAAAGTTTTGTAATTATTTGTCAAAATTCAGGGAACAGATGGATAAAATGGACATTTTGCTCCAATAAGCAGCTGTACAGCAGACTGGATGGTCTGAAAGAGATTTATATAAAATTCCAAAAAAAAAAAAAAAAAAAACAAAAGAGAAAATAGAAAATTTTTTTTTTTTTTTTGGATCTGTGCTCACCGCTTACAGAGGCAACTGTGATCACGAGTCCAGCAGGCCACCTGGATGTGACTGTGGGTGAGAGCATTGTGCTGCCCTGTCAGGTTTCACATGATCCAACGCTTGACCTGAAGTTTACCTGGTTCTTCAACGAGCAGCTCATCCACTTCGGAAGCCACGGTTCCTTTTTTGAAAAAGTTGGTGGGGTAAGTTCACCCGCGTTGACTTTTGATTAGAACGTGTGGAGATGTCGGAACGTTCCCTTTGCAGCACAATCGTAGTTATGAGTTTGAGAAACCACAGAAACCATACTGTAGTTTTCAGTGTGATAGAAATGAAACATTTGATGGGCTTGACTTTCATGAATACGAAGCAATATTTCATATGACTTTCTGGCTGTGACTGCCATGCATAAAATCTTGCGGCGTTTGAGAAGAAGAATAAATCAAAGCCTTGTGAGACTTGAAAATAGTTAAAAACATGTTTGCCTCCATTTTAATTTAGATGAAACTGCATAGTTTAGTTTCAAGTGACTCCTGGGGATGCCGTGGATTTAGAAGAAGTATTTTCACATCTTTTTTTTTCCTCTCTAAATTTGAATTTCTGGTCAAAACTAAACCATTACTTCTTGATGAATCATACAAGCATATAATGTATTTGTTTCTTCATAGAACACAACTGAGGCTTAGCTGAGCATTACATTTCACTCTTTTCATCAGAATAAACACTTTGTTGCGTTTATTTTTGGCATAATTTCGAACAACTGCTGACCATGAAAGGTCCTGTATTTTTAATTAATTGCCCAAGCATTCTTGTATAAAATTTGCTATAACAGGATCTCTGTAATTTATGCCATCTAGAGTTATATGAATTTAATGATGGCTGGGAGTTTCAAAGTGGGAATGATTTGAAGCAAAAGAAATTTTATCTCCATAAAACGTCGCTGATTATACATCAAAGTAGCTTCGGAGTCACGTCTTCTTTCACAGTCCCTTACTTTCACAGACAAGACATCAACTTAACATTAGCTCTAACTTTAAAGTTCAAAGCTAATAATGTGTTTGACATTGAATGGTTTCTCTGTAGAGTAGATGGAATCAGTGAGAATAAAAAATGACAGAGTCTGAGAGAAGCTTTTTTTCACACAAAGAGCTGTCTTTATAAGTAGTAATAAAATACAGCATCCAGTTGTTTGCTGTGCTCCTGGCCTTGTTGTTTTTCTTTTGCTTAAAGTGCCTGTGATGTCCAATTTTTGTAATACTTATGAATGCATTTTTGAAAAGAGGTCATTGACAAAATATTGCAAAATAAATTTCATGTTGCTGAGACGAACATTTGTTGAGATTTTTGCCTGTAAAGTAACAGGAAGTGATGTCAAAGGGGAATGTCTGCATGTGAACAGAGCAGTGCTACAACAGCCAACATTAAGACTAACAACAACATTAAGATTATTTTGTCACTATCAGAGACAGATGAAGAAGAGTCAGAGTTCAAATAGTATTGTTTCAATAAACAAAAACCAGGGAGCTTTCTTTGTTAAAAAAATCCCCTTTGATGTCCTTCCTGTTTCACTTTGGCTGAGTCAAGTTCAAAAGAAATAAGGTCAGTTAAGGGACAAAATCATGGGTTGTTCCAACTTTCTTAAATATAAAAATGTTTTATTTGACTTTTTGTATTTGAATAATATGTATGTCACAGGCACTTTAATGAAATAAGCAGAAAGACACCAGAAATCAATTTGACATTGCTACTGTTTTCGAAGTTCTTCAAATTCATTTTGTAACCTAAAGATTTCTCAGATTTACTGTTTGTTCTTCTGGCCCATTCATATTTTTGTTGATTTTCATTCCAACTTCTGCTCCAGCAGCGGTCAGCAGGGGACATTATGATACGAAACATTCAGCTGAGGCATGCTGGGAAATACACCTGCGCTGTTCAGACCAAAGTGGACAGTATATCCATCGCCACAGATGTAGTTGTCAGAGGTAAGAATGTCCTTTATGTGGGAAACAATTGTTACAAATAATAAAGCGTACAGTATATCTGAACTTAATCAGCTGAAACTGAAGAATGCAATCACTTGCAGCTGATTGTACAAGCCTGATTAAAAGAAATGCAAAATGCATTATCACACTGTTAAAAAAATGAATTAAACAATCCAAACTGAATCATTTATGTATGGCTGAAATGGTTCTCACAGAGTCTTAAAATGTATGATACTTGATTTCAGTAGTTTCCCGGATGACTACGGGTAAAAGTGAATAAAGTATGGAAAAGCATTTGAGTTTCCAAACTTAATTCACATTTCAATATCTAAATGACAAAAAAAATGCATACTTAAACAAGCATTAATACATATATTATGCACAAATAAAAACACTAAAGTTGAAACATTTCCTATAAAAATATAAACTGTTGCACAGAATCATGGATTTATTCATTCAACATTTCCTCCTCCATCTTTGCTTTTCTCTTTAAATGCCTTTACTTTTATTTCAAAAAGGAATCTGAATTCAAAGTCTTGAAACATGATTTTTATTAACTTTTTGCGTGGGGGAATGGGAATGAACTGGAACCATGAACTGGCTCAATAATAAATAAATAAATAAATAAATAAATAAATAAATAAATAAATAAATAAATAAATAAATACAAACTTCCAGTAGAGGTAAAACAAACCATTTATGTAGGGATCATATTAATCATCAATTTTGTAAGATATTTTTTAACTAGTAAAACAATTGTGAAAAAAATCTTTGAATGTGAATATCATCTATCATTTTAATAAATTCTCTCTAATATAACAACAACAGAGTTTGAACTGATTTTACTTTAGTATGGCAGAAACACTGAAGGATTAGCAGCTGCTATCCTAATTCTTTGTCTCTCTAATCCATTACATCAGCTTTAAGTGCTTCCCACCCACTCTGTCTCCGTTCTCCTTCCTCTTGTCTTCATTAATCTTTGCAGCATTTATCGCTCTGTGTGAGTGAACTGTACTTTAAAATCCCTCCAGGTCCTCCAGGCCCGCCTTTGGACTGTCAGGTGACTGAGATTACTGAGACCACGGCCTCTTTGTCCTGGAGACCTGGGATGGACAACCACAGCCCCATCCTCAGCTACACCATCCAGGCCAGAACACCTTTCTCTCTCGGGTGGCAGGCTGTTACCACTGGTAGGCTGGATTTATCTGAGAGATTGTGTGTGGGCTGTAGATGAAAAAAAGGAGGGTTAAGGTCTTTTGTTTCAATCATCAGTAATGACAAGAAGCTGAATAACATATCACTTCTTTAATGGCAGATCTTGTAAGGTTCTAAATGTAAATGTGTCTGTGTCATTTGTCTCAGTTCCTGAGTTTCTGAGGGGGAAACATCTCTCAGCTACTGTTGTTGACCTGGGTCCCTGGGTGGAGTACGAGTTCAGAGTTTTGGCAACCAACATTATAGGAACAGGAGAGCCCAGCAAACCCTCTAAGAAGGCTCGCACCAAAGAAATGCGTATGTATCAGAAGTTCTTTAAAATTTCTCTGCTGCTGTAAGAGTCGGGGTCACAAAGAGTGACGGTTAGAGAGGACAAGTTTGAGCTTTTGTTGGCTGTAAAGAAATGAATATTTACCAACTTGAAACATCCTAACAAATGAATAAAAATCTTTGTTGTCAGTTGTGCAGTTTCACCAGACTTTTGTGTTTTAAAATTACAATAATAAGTTTTTTTGTGAAAATATATATTAAAAATGTATACACATAAATGAGTCAGCTGAGGTAGGGCTGAATATTTTCTAGACACATCCCACTAGAAGAAGACCTCGGGTCAGACCTAGATTTTGCTGGAGAGATTATATTTGGCATCACGATGGCTCAGTGGTTAGCACTGATGCCACACAGAAAGAAGGTCCTGGGTTTGATCCTGGTTCAAACACAGGATCTTTCTGTGATTTTACATGTTATTGTCATGCAAACTGACAAAAACAAGGTTTTTCTCTGGGTGCTGTAGTTTCCTCCCACAGACTAAAAACATGCAAGTTAGGTTGCCTTCAGGTCTAGGACTCCCTTGCAAAAAAGATTTGCGATCTCAGTGGGATTTTCCTGGTTAAATAAATTACACAATAATAAATAAATACCCCTACTGGTCAGGGAACATCTTGGAATCTCCAAGTTGGAGCCAGAAAGGAATGTCACTGACTAATGATCAATAAATAAATTAATTTAATTTAAGACCATTACACTATGTGGCTACACCTAATTTTACTAATCAGAGCCAATTAGAAAACAGCATGAAATCAATTCTTGATAAATATCATATATTTAAAATGGATTTATATCTTGTCTTTTCCTTTTTAAATATGTTTTATGTTGAAAACCCAGCAAAGGTATTACATATTGTTTTTTGATTATTATTGTTTGAAATTAATTTTGGAAAAAAGGGGCAAATACAAGATTTTTTTCTTTCTGCCTCCTTTAATTTCAAGTGTGATTTTTTTTCTTTATTGTGTATAAAATTTGTATTTTTATACAAAATTAATAAATGAATTAAATAAATAAATAAATAAACATTTATTTCAGTTGTATGCTATATTTGCTTGTATTCCATGTCACCAAGATTTTATTGTGAATCAAGTCTACATCTTAAAGAGTATTATTATCTTATCATCAATACACTTCAAACAGGATATCTTTGGAAATCTTACTGTGTCTTTTATTTAGAAGTAGTTATAGGTTTTATTATCACTTGAGCAAAAACCTATTTGTGATTTTTCATCAGATTCAAGGATATCCTAATGAAGAACATCCGTCCCTGTTTTCAGTAGCGTTGAATATTCTACACTTTACTTTTGAAGTTAGAACTTAAAGACAGCCGCATATAAACAAATGTGATGTGTTAGTTCCCAGGGTGACTCCAGCGAGAGTAAATGGTGGTGGAGGAGGACGTTCAGAGCTTGTCATCACATGGGAAGTAAGTATAAACAAACATACGTAATTATTGTTTTTCCTGTTGTATGGTTTGTGTTTCAGCTCTTTGCTTGAGTTGCATTTTTGATCCCAGTATAAACACATACATGACAATGAATGTCATTAAAAACACACCCAATTAAATGCCTACTGTACGCTGTGGCTGATAAAACATTAATTCTGACTTGGAAGTGAATATTGTTGCAGTTTTGTTTTCTGTCTTTGTTACATAAGAAATAAATGTTCATCTCTTTTGGAAAGCTGCTTCTTTTCTCGGAAGTATGAAATCACTGACCCACTCAGGGTAAAAAACCCATGCGTGTTTGCTTATATGATAATGTCCTCGGTAATATTTTTTAACTGCCTTAATCTGTGCAGAGCTGCGTTTCTGTAAAAATATTAATATCAATGAGATCAGTGAAGCCTGCTTCTCTTGAATCATCTGTCTGAGTCATCCCGTATCTCCTCAGCCTGTCCCCGAGGAGCTGCAGAGTGGTCCAGGCTTTGGATATGTGGTTGCTTTCCGCCCACTGGGGGCACAAGGCTGGATGCAAGCTGCTGTCACGTCCCCAGAAGCTTCTAGATACGTATTCAAGAATGAAAGCATCCCACCCTTCTCCCCTTACCAAGTCAAAGTCGGGGTCTACAACAACAAGGGTGAAGGACCTTTCAGTCCGGTGACTACCATCTACTCAGCAGAAGAAGGTGTGTGATATGATGCAGCTTCTCTATAAAGTGCATATTAAACTATTAGAACATCCAGCAATTTGTTTATAGACTGATAAATTTAATTTGATTCCATATTTACAGTAATAAACTCATTTCCACAAAGCCTTTTTCATTCTTAGTTACTAGTTTTGGCATTTGTTTTAGGATCTCATCTAAACATATTTGCCTGTAATGCTTGGTATGGTTGTTTGTCTTTGTGTCTATGGTGTACAATGATGTGATTGTGATGCTGTATTTCTGAGTGTTTTATGTGCTGCAGAACAGGAAACTGCTGTAAAACAGCAATTATGCTGAGTCAGGCTTGATTTTTAGTGATCTTTTCCTGTTAAATCAATAAATCAAATCAAATCAAAGCAGAAAAATAAAACAATCAAGTAAAACGAAAATCCGATTATAACCGCAGAGACTCTTGGAATCTCTATAAAACCTCTAAGAAAAGCTATCTTTCTAGTGATTGTTTTCCTCACATAGAGATGTGGGTAGATTCCATGGAGCTGCAACATATTTAATAAGTCATGCAGTGGATGTGGGTGTAGTGAATCCATGTTGTTCTGACGATGCTGTCTGTTCTTCAGAGCCCAGCAGACCTCCAGGGAGGCTGAGGGCGAGGAGCATATCAGCATCCGAGGTGGAGGTCGCCTGGAAGCCGCTGGTTTGGAGCAACAGCCGCAGACGCATCCTGGGCTATGAGGTCAAACCAGCAGATGCCCACACAATTTGACATGTACAAACACAATGAACAGCGAACACCAACTGGCTATATATTACTAAAATTTGACGCGTTAACCTTTAATATCATTGGCTTGTGGATATTATTGCATTTCAAATGAATGATACGCCATATCACATTGCTGTGCTTATTTTTTAAAAAAAGAGGCATATGTTGAATAAAAGATAATAAAAAAAAAGTTGCAAGTTGGTGAAATGTAACCTGAGTATGTTTTGTGTTTAGCTGAGGTACTGGGGCGAGAAGGAAAAGCAGGATGCAGCCGGTGCGATCAGAACGGTGGGGAATAAAACATCAGTACTCATCAGGGATTTGGAGGGCAGCAGTACCTATTACATATCCCTAAGGGCCTATAACAGCGCTGGAGTGGGTCCACAGAGCAGCATAGTCAATGTCACAACCAAGAAACCACGTACGTATTCGACTTTTCAAGATGCTGCTGGCGAATGACAATGTCCTTTTTGTGTATTGTTTTACTCCCTGTCGTCCTCGCTCTTTCTTCATTTTACCGTAGCTTTAGGGGCCCAGCTCAGTCTGTGTATATTAGATCCACGATAGTAGGAAGCAGTCACGAAAAAAAAGTTTACCATCTGGAAAGCAGCATCCCTCATTCTGTTTGCTGTCATTTAAACACTGTTTCATACAAAAAGCTGTAACATATAACAGAGACACACAAAACCTTTTAATAACTTCAAAATACTTATAAAGCAACTGATTTAAACATTTTGTGACAGTTAATTTTAGATTTTATTGCCAGTACTTATTTATTGTTCCCTTGAGTGCTTTGGCATGAAGGTCAGACAAGATATTTTTTTTTATAATTTGTCTCTTTTTAATAGACGTATTATTTTTTTGCCTGATACATTTTAAAAGCTCAAAAGAATCGTGTGTGCCTGCTTTCAAAGAAATCTAAAGATTTGTAGCATTTTGTTATTTGCACATATTAGAAACAGTTAGATAATAAGTATATAATGATCTGCATCCCTTTTTGTCTTTTCAAGACTTTACTAACCACCCACAACAATTACAGTCAAAAATAAGTCTGATCCTCCTCCCACACACATATTTGTGAAGTCACTGCTCACTACTGACAGTGGGATGATAAACTGATAATGAGAAATCTCCTTCATGCTGAGTTGCTTCTGGACTGTTTATTGGCTCGACCTCCTGTTGTTGTTTTTTTTTTCCCTGCCTCCACTTATTTTCACCCTGTTGTCCTCCAGCACCCAGTAAAGCTCCAGTCAAGATAATGTGGGACACTTCGAACTCCAAGGTCATTCTGAGGTGGGACCAGGTGCATGCCCTGGAGAACGAGTCAGAAGTCACAGGATACAAGGTAAAGGGTCTCGAGTTTCACACTTCTCGCACAGAGATGTGTAAGGGGGAATCACTGCACTGCTGATAAGAAAACTGTTTTTTAAGATTGTCAAAAAAAATAAAATGAGGAATGAGAGACTTAGACCAAAATATTTGATCTAATAATTATTCTATTGACTTTTAAGGTGGACTGGGATTTCTTTCCATCTATATCTTTATCATCATAAACACACTCATGGTGTTTTTTTTTTTCCTCAAGTCTAATCAACATTTAGATATACTCATCTAAAGTGAATAAAAGAGCTAACCATAAACAAAAACTGCAATAAAAACATGTATTTTACTTAATTAATTATTTTAAAAACTAAATTTATTTTAAAAACTTTATGGAAAAACTACTGAGTAGGTAATTCGTTGTAACATCTATCCATTTTTCACAAGCAAACTTCCAATTCATCAGGTCAAAGAACCCTGCAGGATTCACCACTTTTTCAGGTTTTTGTATTCTGTTCTTTTAACAATAAAAATGTATTTTTGAAGCAGAGCTTAGTGGATGGTAAAACTGATGGATTTGTACATGAATTTTTTTTTCTTAGCAAGGTCCTTTTTTTATTTATTAAAAATTTCTACAGCAGAAGATTTGATCCTGTTATTTTCTGAGATGACACCTTTCATATCTTCTGGGACAGATTTTTTATTTTGTTTTTCCTTGAACTCCCCTCATATGGTGCACTGTGTTTGGAGTGATGTTGATTAAAGCCGTAGCACACACTTTCAAACTCCCATTTCCTGCAGGTGATGTACAGCCAGGACAAACACAGCCATCCCAATGTGGTGGAGACCAACGACACCTCCTTGGAGTTGTCGCTGCCAATCAACCAAGACTACGTGATTCAGATCAAACCCTTCAGTGAGGGAGGGGAGGGCATCAGCAGCCGCCAGATTACCATCCCCAAGATGGAAGGTGGGAAAATAGTGACAAATAAAACCGGTAAAGCACACGTACCTCTGTTTATGACACTTGGGTAATAGGTATATACAAAACAAGAGGTTTTATCTTGCAAGACAGATACACCTCTACTGTTTTGCTTTTTAAGGAGTTAATTTGTGCTTATTAGATTCTAAAGTTTTACAGATTTTGCAGAAGGTCAAGACTTTAATTAAGACACGTAAGTGTAAAAAATACACTCCAAGGTTGTAATCATTTTAACTGATAAATTACATCTGACTCATTTGAGTCATTTTCTTTTGAAATGGTAAAAGATTAGTTTTTAAATGTGACATTTTTTTCCTTTCACAGTTAACGTCGCCTTTTTGCCTTTGAACAGAAAAAATGTATATATGAACAAACAATATCAACATCTCTAACATTCACAAAAAAAAAAGTCTTTCAGAAACTGGTTGTTTGAGAACGAATGTCTCTTTTTAATTAAATGTCTGTTTATTGCTGTGCTTGCTTCACTTCTCCAGCTCTTTGACTGCATCTATAACTGAGCTCGTTGTGCTACTGCCATCTATTGATACCTGTGTGAATTCACACCAGCTAGTGCTTGAATGAACAAAATACATTTTAGTTAGGTCTCTGTGATTTAATTAGGGCTGTGAGTTATGTTGCTAAAACTTCATGTTTATTCATTTACACACAGAGAAACGATTTTTTTTTTTTTATAAACTCATTGACCACACCAAACATTACAAAAAACCAGTGCTTCAACCTGTTGAATTCTGATTTTATTATGTATTTCAGGCTCAATAGCCATGGGAGCCGCCCCGGAGCCAATGCCATTTCCACTGGTCAACTTTGCAGCTCTAATTCTCACAACCAGAATGGTACTATGACAAACATCCAGACACAACAGCTTCTTATTCTGTGAAGAAGGAAAGAAGAAAAGAGAGGAAAAAAAAACAGCAGGTCAAAGACAACACAAGGCCGACAGCCGCATTTCCTCCTTCTCCCTTTTCTATCCTGCTGAGTCTTTCCTCTTCTCGCTACAAAGATCCTTTTGTGAGGAAGATTCTTTTCTGTCGCATTTCTAAAGTGTTTGCTGAAAAGAACTAGCTCTTTCAGAATTTCTTTTTATGAAATTGAAAGAACGCCTTGACTTGAGTGACTCCGGTCTCTCTTTCTTTTCCCTTTCCTCCTTTCTAACTAGTGGTAATTCTCATGGTTTTCACCTTGGAGGATGCATTAGGACATGTATATGTGTCTTTCGATGAAACCATGTGGATTCTTTTGAAAGGATATGTAAAGTATGTACTGCTCAACTTATTTTTATTTTTTTTATGACTGGAATTAAAAGCAACTGAGTGGAGCGCACCTAAAGCAACAACTTGTTTATGTAAGTGAAGTTAAATTTAAACCTGGAGTTTCTTTGGGGAAACACCCTGCATTGATTTATCCCTGTCAAAGGAATAAAGGGCAAACCAGAACAGCTTTATGATGAACCAGAATTTGAGACCTTTTCCCTGGATTTTAATCCTAGTTTTCACGTCACGTGTTGCCATAAAACTGAGTGGAACCAAAGTGAAGAGGCTGAGGAGGTTCGGTTAAATCTGCTGCCTGTGTGGCTTCCGTAGAAAACATCTGACTTGTGTTGATAGTGTCTCACCATGCTCCCTCATCCGATGTTTGTAACCAAGAAACATATGTATGAAATCCTCAGGTCCCAAACGAGCCTTAAGTCTTAGAAGAATATTTCATGTTATTTTTGTCCATCATGGGTTATATTTATTTTCATCAGCTTTTTTATTTATTTTTTTATCCCAACCGTACTTTAGCTCTCATGCTTTGAGATTTTTCACCGTAGTTGATTTCTAAGCCATGTGTTTTAGAAGTTTTGGGCTCCAAAACAAAAGGTCTTTCTCCTTTTTCCATCCTGATGAACAGTAAAACACAGTGATTGGCAAGAAGACGTAAAACTGACTTTACTCCAACACATGACTACAAAGTAGGGTTGGTGTTTCTCTGTCAGCCACTGTTTGGCATGAAACTGGAGTGCCTGTGTGCACTTGGCTGAGGGTATTTGAATGGAAGAACCTGCTTTTAATAAAGATAATGACATTTTTTACCATGTCTGTTCTCTGTGTAACAAGTGGCCACAAAAATGTACATTTCATATCAAAGAGTCCATTTCTTACTGGGCCATGCAACTTAAGGTAAACCTTTTTGAATGTCTGTTTATCCATTTAACATCTCTGACATTTGTCTTTAAGGAGTCTTTGTCCAATAGCCTATTTTTTAGTTTTCTACCAAATACAATGGTAAATTTTTAGAGATAGTGTGAAAATGCTTGTCAGCCCATGCTACTGTTAGCCATTCCATAAAAAAAATCAATGCTTGCTGCAAGTTTCTCTCTTACTCTCTTCATATATTTGTTGTGTTTTCAGTTCAGTGTTTAATGTCACAATTTACAAAAAAAATAATTTAAATATATGTAGCATTATCAGGATTTTCAAAAATAATCCCCTAAATACAGTCAGAATCAAGCAATTTAAACCAGAATTTTTGAAATTTGTTCTATAATTTAAAATATAAAGTCATGAAAATATCCCAAAAGTCTTATTATAAGAAAACTTTTTTTTATCATATTACATTTTCTAATTTGATGGAAATGATCTTCAAATATAAACCTAAAATCTAGTTTATTAGAAAGGGTAGTATTCTTAGTCTAAATGTACAAATACATGTTGCGCATACCCTGACACAGTGATTCCCTTCTTGTTCTTGTCCTCATCTTTATTTTATTTTTTTAAGGAATTTAATTACAATGTACAGCAAAGACAGCACCAAGCAGTGGAAAGCAGCAGAGCAGGAGGGATGGAGTGGAAGCAGAGAAGTTCATGAATCAACCACAGGTCATCCAAGAAGACGCGTTTCTGCAAACAGTCTGGTTGTTTGTCAGAGCTTCATCTTAACATGGGACGGTCGGTCTGTCTTTACAGGTTGATCCGAGGAAGATTTGGATAACTTTTAATCCTAGAGAAGTGGTGAGAAGGATTTCAGCCGGGAATGCTTGTTGATGATGCAAAGCTCGCTTCTTGTAGGTAACTGATGCCGCCTAGTGTACACCACGCCCGTGGCTTTTAACTACTTCACATCTTTACGATCCACCAAACGGCACCAAACGAACAGCACACAGGTATGCTAGGCTGTGTTTCTTTTTTCTTCTTTTTTTTTCCTTCAGCTTTCCAGTTTGACACCCATATCCATGATTAACCATCACTTTAAAAGATTCCAAACCAAAATAGGGAACACAACAGAAAGATCACTATGCATGTGAACATTGTGAAGTTTAGTGTCTGAAAGCCAAAGTTATACCTCAGTATCTTCATAAACCTGACATGACCATTTACAGCACTGTTCTCAATCAACCCAATGGATTTATTTAAGCTGTATAAATTATTTTAAATATAAAATATAGTTTTTTTAAGTTAATAATAGCATAATTAAAGGGAACCCATGTCATGTCAAGTTTATGCATTTGACCTTCTGGCACTTTTGTAATTAAAAGTAGCTTGTTCTTAAAAAAACAGCATCTTCATACAAAACCAGTATTTTGTACAATTATTTATCTTAATTGGCACATCACATGGTTGTGGCATTTGTCTAACATTCATCTACTAAATCGCACACAGCTAAAACTCCAGAGATGTTTGTCCTACAGTGTTGTTTCTTTTAATGAAAACATTTTACAGGATGTGTTGGAATAGCACGGACGCATTATTTCATAATCAACAAAGTAGATTGAAAGGATAAACTGGTAGTAAATTAACAATGGTAGAAAACAGAACATTAGTTATTTCAACAAAACAGACCACTTCATTGTTCTTTTAGTGCAAAGTAAAAAAAAAAACGAGCTGATATGTTCATATATATTGTACAGCACCAGTGGTTTAAAATAAAAAAGCAAATAATACATAACTTTACCAAAAATAAAAGAACCACAAACACCAAGGTGCTTTCATTGGATTTCAGGGTTACATTTTGTGCATTTGACATTAATTATATTATCTCAAAAAGAATTGATTTCCTCTCAAAAAACCAAATTTTGTTCTTGAAGCCAAATGTAAACCTCTCCATGTTTCTGTCAGGCTGTTTACATTAACCTCTTTCCTCTGAGTCCATTGTCCTCTTATTATAATTCGAATAATGCAAGAAAATTACCATGCAAACATCTCAAGGACTATTTTTTTTATTATTATTGATGCAATTGGTTTGTGAGCCTACTCTATGCGTTTACTACACAAAAATGCCAAAGTGGCGTTACATCCCGCTGAATTCTGACGGCACATTTAAGGACAAGGAAGAGGGAAAATAAAAACCTGGGCTCATTTCAAAACCGCTTCATGATTAGAAAATCTGCTGCCACCGTTTTGAATGAATGCAGCAGGTACACAGTTAAATTAACAGTGCCTTATGTCACCTACAGTTTATGCATACTGTTGCATACTTGCCACCCACACATCAAGGTGAAACACACAGAAATATTAAACACATGACAGACTGGGAGAAGAATAGTGACCGGAAAAGTTGAATAAATACCTTCAAAAGACTAAGATCGTCTCTAGTTAGCACACAGTCTATCAGTTAGGACATTTGATCAGTTAGGACATTTGATCTTTTGACTGGCATTGTTAGGAACTCCTAACAACTACATCCTGCCTTACTGCTCGAAGCTACAATTAGCATAGCATATTACTCATGAACAAAGTTTTAAGAAAAAAGAAAATGTGTCCAACAGGGTGTGTTTATTTTTCTCCACACTTTGGTGACTGAACGAGACTCGTTCCAAATTTCCCTAAAGATGCCTCCTGCATCGGATGTCATCCATGTACAGGCTTGTCATCGAACTTTTTGAGAAACACTCGGGTAATTTAAATCTTAAAGCCCTGAGAGGTTTGCGGGGAATTTAGCTGGATTATTATTGTGGAATATTTTTGGTTCTTTTCTTATTGACCAGCTGAAGAAAACGATTTTTTATTGATGCAACTGAACACGTGTGATCACAGTAGAGAAACGCCTAAAAGAAATAAACGTATGAATTCCAAAAGGAGGTCCATTTCACCATTAAACGGTACAAGAGTCTCATAGTAGCTGTCCTTGGGATGGTGGGTGGCAAATCCAGGCAAGGTACTGACACTTCTGGTCCAGGAGGGGGCACTGTTGTCTCAGTATACTGGCACTGCAGAGGAGCAGGATGAGAGTCAAACCTCAGCTGGAGGGTTTCAAATGCTTTCAAACAGTGGAAAGAAAGATGTCTACAAGTGGCCACGTGTACCTATGGCGTGCCGTGTCGATCCTCAGTGGATGATTCAGTTTCCCTAATAACAACTGCCTTGGTCACCTGCATGTCTGGATGCTGCTGCTTGGCTTCTTGTATTGCGATGGCCAAAGCCTGCAGAGGCAAAGTGCGTTTTGTCATTTATGAAAGAACAAACTCCTAAATCGTTTGTGCTTTTCATCTCCAGTCTTAAACACAAAAGAAGTTCAAAACCGAATTTTCCAACAAAATCAAAAATCGTTATGCTTGGAAGTGCAACTAATAAGTCGTTTCACTGACTGAACAATAATTTACTGTTTCGAGCATTCCCTGTTTTCTCTGCATACCCAATCAAACAATTAGAGATGCTTTTGTTTCTGTGTGTGAGTAATATTCTAAAAACTCCACTGAAAGACATTTACTAAACCCCTATTTGCACATGATGTAGACTTGATATGTATACATGTAGTAATTTTTTAGGCACTTCATCACCTGCTCCTGATCTACATCATCATCTCCTGTGATTATAATCCTCTTCTCGATTCTCGTCTCCGAGTATCCTCCTTTCACCGTCTGCAACACACAGGGTTTTCTTTTAACGGCTCTCATTCAAACTCACATTCACAAGATGTTAAACGGCGCCCAGTTGCTTGGCAATGCATAGATAATGCATGCATCGCCAGGTTTATTTAGGCCTCTTTACCTTTGTGACATGAGTCGTTGCAGAGGTAACGTTTTCAGTCACAAGAATAGGCGAGCCTGGCGTCTCTCTTCCAAGACTGCCCTTGTGCACCTGGACAAAGTAGAAAAGCTAAAGTGTAAATTAAGTAAACACAGAAAGTGACCAATCATAAGCCAGTAAGTACAACAGCTCAGCTCTAGGAAGTGTCTCTGCAGGCAGTTATCCATACAGTTAGATGCCTGATATCATCACCCTGAGAGAGTTTTAGCCCAAACTGTTTTTGCTTGGGTTTCCACAAAACTGGCACAAGCTAGAAAAGGCTTTTAGAGCAGGAGTGTTGCTTTATTTTCAAAAGGCTTTTGAATATTGGTGTCTTTAGAAAACACCTCCTCTCAGCACCTTCGGCACCAGTCTGCTCTTTAGTTTTGTCTACCTGTTCCACTTCTGCAGTTATTAAAATGGATTTGCATTTAATGCATTGGCCAGGGTGCTTTACTGTTCTGAAGCAACAATGTGGTCTTCAACTCGTGAGTCACTTTAGATAAAAGCTTCTGCTAAGTGGCAAAGTGTAACTATAAATATGATTTAAACAGTATATCACCAAAGGTGTGCATGGATGCATATATTTCTGTAGTTTTTATAAGCACTGTAGATTTAAACCATTGGGAAGGTGGATGGAGAAAAAGGCAGGTTGTGTTTGTACTCACAGGAGAAACACTTTGTCTTGTAGAGTAAGAAACTTCATTTAGGCTATGATCCTGAAACAAACCAGACCAGTATATGGCTTGAATCATTTGATATTTAAAAATTCAGCTCCAGTATTGCACAGCTGGAAAGTTGTGAAACGAACCTGATCTGTGAACTCCACAATGGTAGTGGTGAGTTCTGACCCATTGGGTTGAGTTTCCATTCTGATGTCAGTTTTCCTGACAGCTGGTGTGGGCATGATGTCACTGGCCTCCCTGCTCAGCGGCGCGGCGGCAGAAACTCGGCTGGGTTCTTTGTGGGACTGATCTCTGTCCACTGACGACGACACTGGCACCGACCTCTTTGGTTTTTTGGGAACAATGGGCTTGCAAAAAAAAGTATTTTTAAGTTTTTCTGTTAAACGGGGTTATCGTTCTTTAGAGACAAATTCATATCCAATGCACACCAATTAGTTTGCCATAAAGTTGAAATGAACAAGTTCAAGGCATTTCTAAATCAGTTTACAGAAGCATTTCAACACTTCAAACTGTGTAAAACTTTTATCCCTAATTTACACTGTCTGCTCAGCTCCAACCCCCTCAGTAAAAACACACCCATTATAACCAATGAGAGAATTTATACAGAATACTTAGTGATTCGCTATAATTAGATTCATTCTTATTTTTGCCAGACAGCAGAACAAGTGTGGAGTCGATCTACAAAGGTCAAACTGCACCAACAGGAACAAAGTCTGTGTTTTCAAAATAATTCACCAAAAATATCTAGTTATATTAATAAATCTATAGGTATATTTATGCACACATGCTCTCAAAACGTATCGTTCTATTTGGAAAGTAGATGGCACATGTTTCTCAGAGTACCTCTGCTTTGCAGCAAAGCTGAGCCACAGGCAGTGTGAACTGGGGTAGAAACGTACAACAGTGTAAAGTGGGGGTCAGATTACCTGACCCTCGGGCCGTTTGACCTCTGGTCGGACCTCTTCATGTTGGAAAAGTTTAGCCGGGGGGCTGCTGCTGGCTCCTCTGGGGGTTGGAGCTGGTGCCAAAGGAGGATTCAATTCAGCGGGGCCTTGTTGGTGGAGAAAGTCGATGCCAAAGCACAGTCCCCTGTCAGGGGAGAGATCCCTCTCTCCCAACTCTGTCATCCCCCTGGAAAACTCCTCCATGCCCGTCTGCAGGTCTGTTAGGACGGTGAAGTCTACTTCGGCCTCTAGACTGGATGTAGAACTAACCGTGATGCTGGAACATTTACGCTCAATTCCCAGATGGGTTTCCTTTAGGTACAGGATCTCGTGGTCCTGGTCGTCTTCGGATACGGAGCCCAGACGTCTCTCCCACGGTTCCCTCTACAATGCAAACATTTATTTTTATAACAATAATAGAAACAATCTGAACTCTCTAACTTTGCATTTTTTTAATTCCACATTACATTCACAGACTAGTCAAACTTGGAAAGGAGTCTACTCATCTTTACTATTTCCTGTTTACACTTACACACAAAACAATAGGTTATTTTTATATAGTTTTACCCTTTTTAATTAATATTAATCTTAATCACACTACTAAAATTAAAGTCCTCTGAACTACATTCATAAAAATGGTTACATTTAAAGAAATTTAGGACTATTGTTACTTTTCTTGGGGCTGATCAAAAGTAAAGATGTGCAATAGTTTTTGAGGCACAGAGTAACTGAAGACCTTTTTTTCACTTTTGTGTTTTATTTTTATGAGTTCATCATCAAGAAAACCCTGCTTATGAATGAGTATTAGAGAAAAAACTGCTATTCTACAAAGTGAACATTGCTCCCTGTTGGGAGTTTAGTACAGATCGTGTGGAGAACCTCCAGGGATGTTAAAAAAGGGAACAGATGGGAACAAATATGTGTGATAATAGTGGAAACTGTGTCTACAGCAGATAAAGCCTTCGTTCATTATTACATTTGTTAAACATAGGCGTTGTATGGTGACAGTTTTCCCTTTGCGGCTGAATGTTTTAATCAGAACTCATCAGAAAATATCTCATCAAACATTACAGCAAACCTAAACAGCTATCAAAGATAGATTAAAAATAATTTATCATGCTGAGGTGAAAGTTTGATCAAAAACTTCAATAAACTTTTTAGGTTTTTGCTGCTCAAGATGATCACATCAGATGCTGCAGCCAAAGCATCACAAACTCACCGATATAAAAAATATATATATTTTTTTCCAAATGCATAAACTGAATGTTTACTCCCCTTCATCTGGTCGATTTATTTTAGATCTTTATTTAGATAATAGAGTCCTGTGAAAATTTGATAGCAGCTCTGCAGCAGGGGACATGTTTTGGAGTCATCTTTATGCTGAAATCCAAAAGTGGCAGTGGCATCAGCCTTTCAAAACAGACCTGTTTACTCAACTTTAAACAACAACATAAAACTTTAGAAATGCATTTAGTTTTGGCCTTTGGGCTTGTGTTAGCAGTTTAAAAAGTTTGCTTTCGTTTTCCCCCTTTTGGATTAAAATATGAATTTCCAAACAGAGCTTTTAATGAAGTTTTAGACACGTGAACACACGTCTACTTTCTCATTAATTATCAGTCTGTGACTAATGATGTGGCTAAAAAAAAATAAAAGGAGTAAGTAACTTACTGAAGCCTCGTTGAAGGGCTCCTCATGGATCGCAGGTGTGGGCGGTGTCTCCTTTAAAACAAAAACACAAATGGCATTAAAACATTAATTTAAAAGAAATAAACATAGTGGGAGTTAATTCGTTACTTGATATCTTTTTTGTAGCACAAAACACAATCAGTCGTAGTACAAACAGAAACAAAGTTTACTGTTAGGATTTCTTTTATAAAATGAACATTAAACATACATTTTATAAACCTTGGTCTTTGCTAAACTTGCAAAGTAAACTTGAATCAGATCGTTTACCGAAACGTTGAAGGCTGACGTCAGAGGCATGCATTTGGTATCATTCACGGTTTGACATCAGTCATAATGACTATAAGTGCAGTGGTAATGCCATGCACTGAAAAATCTTGATTCTTTACATTTATTTCAGGGGAAAGGTATTCACATTTGCAGCATGTGAATGCCCCAGCCCTGAAGAGGTTTGGCAGCTCTGCAGTATGTGATTGCCTCAAATCACCTTTTTTTTTCTCCATTTGCTACCATTGCTACAGAGGTGCCAAGGTAGAACATTTGGTTCCGCTGCCCAAAGCTATTTACTAAAAAGGGATTTGAATTATGTGAAAAGAGAGAAAAAATAGTGGAAAGGTCTTGCACTCCTTGCAACAGCGGCCAGCTTTACTCTGTGAGGGTGTTGGAAGGAGAGGACCAGGTGTTGAGGTGACAAGTTAACGGACGCTTGAAGCTTAAGCAATGCGAACTTTGCTTAAAAAGGCCCACAGCATTCTGAAATGGCCAAGCAGATGTCAAGCTTTGCAGAGGGAACGAGGGGGGGAAAGCAAAATGCTCCCGGGGCCATGGGCGTGAATTGAGTCGGTCAATGATGTAATGCGAGGGGTCGTGAACTTTTGCTTTCTCAGAAACAGCCACATGAGTTTTGAAGTTTATGTGTGCGTAATGTATTTTTTTTTTTAGAGGGGGGTGGGTTGGGTGTGTTTTTAGATGGCAAAAACAAGGTCTGCACCACATCGCCTGAAGCTCATGCAATGTTTTCATTTCCGATGATGGACAGACAAGTTGAAAAGGTGGGGAGTGTGGAGGTGGGGGTGGGGGGCAGACGGTTTACCGCTTGCTTCCTCTTGGCGGTTTCTTGGCCGGGGATCCGGTAGTGGATGTGGCTGCTGTCCATGTTGCTTGGCCTGTCACGGGACCACTGGGTTTTCAGAGGGAGGCTGCGAGGGGGAACTGTGGGGAATTTCGAGCTCAAGTCGGAGACGTGAAAACTGGCTTCGTGTGGAGCACTCACCCTTGTCCACCGGGCTTGTCCCATTGTGTCTCTGCAGTCTCTGAGCTCCTGTTGAACAAACACGTCGTTCTTGACATGCTGATGAAGTTGGGTTTGCTGCTGTAAGGACTGAGGTACAGCGTTATCATTCGGTTCCCTCTCTGACTCGCAGGATGATTTAGTCACGCGTACATCTCCGGCTGCAACCGTGCTGCTTCTGTCCGACTGGCTTTGAGTTTGAGGATTTATAATCTCTTTGCTCTCTTTAGTCAAAGACTTCTTTGATCTCTGTGGCTTGAGTGGAACTATTTTGGTGACTTCGGAATGCGAGTTCACAGGTTTGTTGCCGTTCTTGTCTCCCGCGAGGCTGAGGTCCTTTTTTACTCGAGTCTCACCGTTCCTCGTGTCACTCTCGCTTCGAGCTTTGCCCTCCTTTGGGAAATAATCCGCGGCCACGAGAGATTCAAAGTCCTTCGGCCTCTCTCGGTGCTCGTGCTGGAAGTACTTCATGTCGTTTTTCATTTTGCTCATCAGTTTGTCAGGTGGAGAGCCATACCCATTTTCATGAAATGCGTTCCTCGCTAATACCGAATCATGATGCCCATTAGATGCATCATCTATCTTGTTCACATCTTTCAATCCTGCGGCTGCAATTATAGACATTCCAGGTTTAGCCGCTGAAGACTCCCTGGATGTTTGGCAATTATTCATAATTGCTCCAGTCTGAAGTGCTGCTGCAAATGTGTCCGTACCCTCCGAGGAGGTCTTACTCTTTTCTGCTTTAGAGCAAGATTCCACTGTTCGCTCATAACCATCCTCCTTCTCAATCAATTTGGCATCACCGGTTGCCTGAATCGACAGAGTAGACAGTTGGATTAGCCTAAGAACTGCTCCTCCTTTTGAGATCATCACTGCAGACGCGAACAAATACTGTATGACTCGTAAGATTTAATCTCTCACTTATGACATTTTCGAGGCGTGTGTCTCTGTTTCAGTTTAATGAAATCACATTTTTGACGGTGAGTAAGAACAGACAGCAAATACTAATACATCATGTTCAGAATGTAGATTAGTCCACGTCAACTCACAAAAAATCTTCATCCCTTTTTTATAGAAAAAAACTCTAGATTATTTTAGGAGTTGAAATGGAATTACACAAACAATGAACAGTTATAGCGGTATAATTTATTCTTACTGATTTCCACTCAGGGGTTCCTGCTGGAGGAGCGGCTGAAGCGATGCGTTTCTCCCTCTGGGCCATCTTACTGTTTGGCTGCTTCAGAGCCCTCTTCAGTTCATTGATGCTGGCCTGGTGCTTTTGTAAAACATCTTCTGGCTTGTCCAAGAACTGCTACTCACACATTAAAGGCAACAGAAAAAAAATTAAAAAAAAGAAATGGGTTTAAAACCTACTTCTAAATGTATTCTACAATGTTTCTAAAATGGATCTAGATGTAGATTTTAAAATATTTAGTACTTTATTATGTAGCAACATTAAAGGAGACATATCATGCTTTTAAATCTTTTTTTCACATTTAAATCATTCAGTTGGGGTCTTTATAAAGTGGAACTGCAATGCTTTGGTCTGCATTCTTCTTTATTGTAACTTCACAAACCCCTCTTTCACCCCTTTTTTGAGGACCGGTCCATTTTAGTTTGATCGAGGGGTTTACGACTATATAGCGGTGCAGAAACTTTTAATTTATAAATTACTGAAAGTAGGTCAACAAGGTACAACTGTTCCAGCCTGACATGTTGGAGCCAGAGTCTGACCCAGAGCCAGAGGAGAATGAAGACGATGAAATTGAAGTCAGAATCTTAAGATCAGACCTTATTTGGCAGTTCTGTCACAAATGCTGTGATGCAGGAGTTCAAAAACCACCTTAAAAATAGAAAAAAACTGAACGGGTTGAAAAATATGACCTAAACAGAACCTAAGGATATCTATGCAGCACCAGAAGAGGCTAAATACATATTTTCTGCACTCCTAGAGACTCCAAGTGCACAACAAAATGCATTTAACAGCTAAAAAATGGATTTTGCATGATGTGTCTCCTTTAAAGAAAATAAATTAAATTAGATGGTCAGAGGTTTGAAAATCTCTTAATAGCAGGAAAAACCTCAAATACAGATTCTAAACAGATTAACATTTAACCCCTCTTTTAGTCTCTCACAGATAAAGTACAAAGCAAAGGCTAATTGAGGTCTGTAATTATGTCATAAACATAATGGGGAAAAAAGAAGTATTTAGCTGGCAAATGTCTTTAAAACTGATATTCACAACTCCTATAAAGAACAACATAAATAAGACTTCTGTGTATGGTAGAAAAAAGTTTTTAACTTCAGGTGCAGAGCTGTTGCTTTTGTCAAACTATAACTGAGAGATGCAGATAAGAATCAGACAACACAAAACACCCGGTGAGATTCAAACAAAGCACGTGCCAAGAAAAGAGGACAAGCAGTACCTCCTGTTTGGGCCGAAGGTGGACCACATCCTTGTCCAACAGATGAAGTGGGGTGGGGGTGGGGCAAGTGAGATGGATTGAACATTTTTTTTGCCAAGCAGGAAGGTTGAGAGTTTGAGGGAAGGGAGAACAGATGCGTGCAGAGACAAAGAGGTAAAAATGCTGCAGGTGAGTCAAAACGGCAGGCAAGCAGCCAGACTGACAAACATTTGACACCGCTGAGGTGTAGGCGTGTGGGGGGTGGGGGGCATCTGACTCAGACTGTTAAGCTGAATAATGTTCTGCCAAGAAGACAGGGACAATCCATTCATGTGTCAGCCAAATGATAATTAATGCAGTCATTAATTGACTGAGCTCAAGTGTTTGGAAGAGGATTATTCCCACACTTCTTCATAAAAAAAAAATAAACGATTTGATGAGACCTCATTACAAAGCCACAAATGAGAAGTTACTTAATTTGCTAACACAATGCTAATACTTCCTGCGGTGCCCAAAACATTACCACACATACTCGCATACAAGACTGATACAAGACATAAAATTAAAAATCTACAAATCCAGTTTAGTTTTTAATTAACTTAAACTAATGTCAATATTTCAGATTTTTTTAAGAAGATACTGAGAAAAGATTATGAACATTTATTATCGTACCTGTTGTAGATAGCTTTTTAAATAATAATAATAATAATAATAATAATAATAATAATAATAATAATAATAATAATAATAATAATAATAACAACAACAACAACAACAACAACAACAACAACAACAACAACAACAACAATAACAATAAATTGTATTTGAAGGTGCCTTTCATGGTACTAAAAGACACTACAATAAAATACAATCCAAAATGTGGTAAAAGAATAAAATGACAAAATAGTAATAAAACATCAAACATAACTTAAATAGAAGTGATGAGGAAATGGGGGTTAAAATGAATATGCCTGTTTTAAAAAGAAGAGATGTAAGTCATGATTTAAAAACAAAGTTGGTGGGAGAGTTTTTACAGTCTGGGGGAGAGCGTTCCATAGGTGGGGTGCTGAGTGACTGAAAGTTCTTGAGGCCATAGTGGTTAATTGAGCCGGTGGTTAGGTGAGTTGGGTGGAGGAGGAGGACCTGAGAGTGTAGGAGGATGTGTTAATGTGGAGAAGTTCTGTCAGATACTGGGGGGTGGGGCTTTGAAGGTGAGGAGCAGGTTTTTATAGGAGATGTGAAATTGAATGGGGAGGCAGTGAAGATGCTGCAGAATGCGTAATATGACTGGTGAAGGGGCTTCTGGAAATGATAAAAGCAGCTGAGTTTTGGACTAGTTGGGGGTTTATGGATGGATTTTGCAGGTAAACCGAAACTAAGGGAGTTGCAGAAATCTAGATGTGATGTGACCAAAGAGTGGACCAGAATAGTAGCACTGTTGGGTGAGAGGGATGGACGGGAAAGAGGGATGTTATGGAGGTGGAAGTAGGCTGAACGAGTGATAAATAACATGTTGTCTAGGATGACACCAAGACGCTTAACCTGGTGGGGCTGGGGAAACTGAGGTAAAAGTTGAAATAAAGTTGCTGTTTTTGCAGTGCAAATGAGAAGAAGTTCTGTTTTGTCACTGTTTAGTTTGAGGAAGTTGCTGGTGTGCCAGGACCTGATATCATAAAGGCAGTCAGAGAGAGGTGGGTGGGAGCGCGAGAGCTGGGTTTCATTCAAGTAACAATGGAATTGGATATTATGTCTTTGAAACATATTAAGTGAACGAAGGTAGATGATACAAAACAACCTCAGTTTGGAGAGACCGAGTTTAATTCGGACCAGATTTGAGCTACAACTTGTCTGACTGGATCACATCTAAAGTAGATCACTGCTTTTAAAACTACATTCTAAAAATATCATAGCAATTCCTGAAAACACTTTTATAAACTTCAAGAAATGATTTGCCTCAAAGTTATTTGCACACAATTCTATGAATGCAAATAGATCATAACTGCAGTTAAACATCATTTCTCTAAACTGAGGCTGTTTAATGAGCTATCTATCACAGGTAAGATACTAATTATTCATATAATATCAATTCATGCTGTTTCTTTGTAGTCTACTATATAAGCTCCTGGAAATCCTGAAACAAAACTATTTTTTTTCATTGAACAAACAACACAAAGACAGTTTGTGCTTAAACACAAAGTACTTTTGCATGACCAAAAACAACCACACAGACACAAAGGTCCATGTTCCAAAATACCTCTGGCATTGAGTCTACAGGTGAGCCTGACTCCTCATCCTGTGGGAGAGGACAAAGCGGTGGGTGCAGAAATGTCAGAGAAAGAAAGTGGAGGTTAGCGGTGTTAGCACTGCAGTGGCAATAGAAGAAAGAGATTAGGGGAGGCCAAGAACTAAAAAATAGAGATGATGATTAGTTTCTTCAAAGAAAAGATAGTGAAAGATTTAAGTGCATGCAGCATTTTTGACTTGGAAGCGAAAAGGGAAGAAAACTTTTTTTTGTCTTATAACTTTGGCTGTGTCCTTATAATGCTTCAGATAACATAATCTCTCTTCAGTTGTTGGCAGACAGAGTGATTGTTAAACCAAATTATCTTATCTAATCCTGTGTTCAAAATCTTTAGCCTTTTATAAACTTAAGATAATTTAAAAACCTGAGGAAACTTCAGTATGTGTACCCCTTCTGTACCTTGAGCTCCAAGGTTTTGTTGGGGGTTGAAGAGCTCGCACACGTCTGTTTCCGGTTTTGTCTTTCCTGTTGTTCCTCTTCCTGATCTGCATATTGGTCCTGGTCTTCATCCTGATACTGATCGTGGTCCAGGTCGAGACTGCCCTCTTGATCCAGGTCTTCTCGAGACATAAACTGCGTGCGTTCGCTGGAGCTTTTTTGAGACAGCTGGTACATACTGTCACCTAGAGCCGAGGCTGGTAAAAAAACATAGACTATTAAGACCATAGAGCTTTTTGACAAACATCAAATCAAAAACAGGAGTAAACTTTGACAGGCAGTGAAAGAGTCTGGGCTCGTACCTCCATCTATACTTCGAGGCAGCAGGTACCGCTTGCTAACAGATCTATCAAACTGTGGTGCAGGCCTGTCAATCAAAGCACTGGCCTGTCTGGTCTGGGCTTGGGTCCGCCCACTGTAGCGGAACTTGGAGCCAATCACGAGGAAACCCTTGGGAGGGGGCTCTGGGGAGACCAACCTGTGGAAAGGCTTGATTTATGAAAATCTTTCCATGAAAAACTGTTCTGTTTGTACTAAATGACAGAACAATAATTCTATTCTCACAAATTGACTCTGTGGGTGTGATTTTGATCAATAGTACTCCAAACTTTTTGTACTAGGTGCTTTTTACTTTTTAAGCAATGTCCACATTTTCTATCAGATTATTTATATGTGACAGATGTCAATTAAAGCTGATCCCAAATCATTTTACAGTGAAAATAATCTAAATCCTAAAGGATAAATCAGTTTGAATCATTACAAACAAGTTCAAGAGGAAAGAAACTATTTTATTGGATTTGTAGGTTCTTTGTTACCAGCAGTCTGTCACACAAAGATATGTTTTTGTTCCCAAAAATATGGATTTAGCCATTTCATTAGCTGATTCCACTGAAAAAATGACAAGAAAAATGCCGTTTGACAGGGATAAAATATCATCTTTGCACCAACAAGATGAAGAACGATTAGCCAAAGAACTGACACGCAGGAGATGGATCAACTGAAAAAAGAAATTCGTCATTGGTCATAGATTGATTTTTGTTTCTTGGCCCGCCACTCCTTTTTTTCTTCCACTTATCGAGTTTCTTTGCCAAGATTCCAATTCATCATTACTTGGAAATCTTCTTGTTGGAGCAAAAACTCCACTGAATGCCCTTTCACATTGTTCTCCTTTGGGTCTTTTTTTGGATGAAGCTAAATTTAGCATAAACAGTAAGACAATTTGTGCTTGGTAGATTATTTCTTTGTTGTAACAATGCTTATTTGCAATAAATCAGTTTTTTTCCATTTTAAATGGTGCCACGTTTGTACGGAACATGCATTTGTGGGATGAGTATGTGGGTTGCACCCATGAAACAATTACCAAATCTTCTCTGCCAGACAGCTTATTTTGCTGTTATTGACACTTGTTTTGAGCTTCTGGTACCCCCAGGGGCTGCCAAGCAGGTGCCAAGAACCTTTGTTACAACAAAGAAATAATCTACCAAACACAGATTCATTTACCTTTTGTACTAATTATATTTAAACTCAAACAAAATGTGGTTTTGTAAATGCAGGTTGACAACAAAATACGATGAAATACATTTTAAAATCAGTTTCTGTCTTCTTTTTTTTGTGAGTGTGTGTTTGTGTGTACGAGTTTTTCCTACAATGTGGGGAAAATTTTCCCAAAAAAATGCAGCCTCGTGGGGACCAATGCCCGGTCCCCACGGGTCCAAATGCAAATTATGGGTGGGGGGATTAGGTTTAGGACCAAGGTTTAGGTTAGTTTTAGGGTCAGGTAGGTACCTGTTAGGTTAATTTTAGGGTAAATTGTCAGGGTTAGAATATAAGCTCTAAAAAATGAATGGAAGTCAATACACGGTCCCCACGGGGTTCAAGAACAAACGTGCGTGTGGATACAACTCATGCTCTTGGTTTTGGAAATGTTTTGAAAAAGACATTTCAAAATGATTAATTTCAAAGACAAGTATGTGTAAAAAATAAGTACAAAGAAACATTTTAACAGATTTTCAAAAATCCTTGGTAGACCAGATATAAAGAACCGGAGGGCGTTTAAGGAATTTGGCTCTTTAGTTTAGCTCTGTCGTGCTGAAAGCTAACACGTCATGCAGTGCAGAGGAGTGTCTATCTACAAGTGATCAAGCTCCTACCTGAAGAAGGTGTGGTGCTCTATGCAGACCTTCCACAAACGCTTCGAGGCCCGATGGTTGGGCAGCTTGAAGCCTATGGTGCTCTCAAACTGTTCGTACTGACGGGTGAGGGAGGGGAGTGAAGGTGGTGGAGGAAGTGATGAGGTGGGGAGGGAGGTGACGAAGAGAAATACAGAGTGAGGGAGCAAAGTGTTGGGAAAGATGGAAAGTTGGCAGCAAGATGAATTGTGTTTACTCCACAGTGATGGGTAAACCTTTTCTTCTAATTTATTTACTTTTTTGAATTATTTTAAGCTGCCATCTTTTGGCTCTTGGGGCAATTTCAAGTAGATTTTCTCGAACCAACCTCTAAATTAGTCGTTTAAGCATTTTTTTCTTGATGTTCAGTGGTGTGAAGACAGTCAGATCAACAGGTTCTTAGCAATACCAGGATTTAAAGACTTAAAGTTGTTCCTTTACAAGAGAAGGCCACCTATGATTCCACACATAAGAAAAATGCTTCAGGCAAATTTAAAGCGACAGCTGATATAAGAGCACAGATGAGCAGAACAAGTGTGCGCTCAGAAACTCTTTGGTTTTCACCATGAAGATGTAAATGACAGCTTAATACTGAACATAAGACACACGGCAGGTATCCTAAAAGCTTCAGAATGAAGGAAAACCTGAATCATTTTAGGAAACTGAAAACTAGAGTGAGCTTAAAGGGGGGAGGGAGTTTACGCAAAATTGACTTTTTTGAGCTTTATATCATGTTATAATGTCAGAGTGTTGCTTTGACTCATACAAGCATGTTTGAGAAATCATTGAATCTCCTGTGGTAGCCAGCTGGAACTACCTGAACGCTTGATGGCACAAAGCACCGCCTATTTATCCAAAGCTCCCGCCCCACAGAGCACCCCTCCACTAAATAGCTTCACCAGACTAGCAGCAGGAGACATGTTTCTTTAAAAATCCCTGTGATTTCATTGTAGAACATATCTTTAAAATGGTGGATGTTTCCTTATGATCTGAGTCCAATTTGGGATTATTTGAGTAAAGTTCAGCTGTATCATGAGTAACCATTTTCTAAACCTGATATTATATAATGTTGCTTCTTTTCTCAACAAAATACAATGGTCCTATGAAAGGTTGTAAAACGGCGTGAAGGGTTGTTGAAGTGGGAATATCGCAAAAAGGTAGGAGGTTCTTCAAGAGACAGAGAACAATTTCAAGGCTTTTATATAGGCTATGATGCAAAGTCAATTTATGTTTGATATATACAGCATTTTCATAACAGAAGGTAACAGAGTAACTTGATCGTGCTATAGAATACAACTATGTGCCTGGAAAATACATAACACACCCCCACCCGAAGAGTAGTTTGAAAGACTTCAAGAAAAAATCTATCATAAAAATTCTAATAGGGTTACTATTTAAAAAAAAGAGGGGAAAAAACATTGTCTATCAACCTAATTGCTATCCCAGTAATTCTGGGGGTCAGAAATCCTCTCAGCAGGCATCATGTGGTTTGCACTTGATAAGCCTCCGAAGGAACACATTTGTCAAACCATGAAATGACTGTTTATGCTGCTTTGCACCACAAAAATACAGTAACGTACCTTAAACAACCGTGAAATCATGAAATCCAAATGTGAAGCTGACTCGACCTGATAATCCTTTATTCCAGTAACTGAAAGCCTTTATTGTGAGGGTCTGCATGCAGCGTTTGCTCAGTGAACTTTGACTAAGCCAAGCAAATGTTAATAAAGAGATAAGTATTTTATTTTTTTACCTCTCCGGGGCGGATTTTGATGTAGAAGTTGCTTCTTTTGTATGAGATCTTGAGAATTTTAGGCCAGGCAAAACGATTGATCCTGAGACGGTCTCGGTAGATGAGCAGCCCGTTTGCACTCACACCGAGCATTATCTCGATTCCTTCTGAATCCTGGTTAAAGCACAAACAGAGTATGAAAGAAGTTCAAAATGTAAAAGGATAAAGGAAGAGTTTTGGTGGGGAAAAACATGGGTGATATTTCCTTACCTTAGCATGATGCAGGTCCACTCCATACATTGAGAGCTTCTTAGCGTTTTCGAGAAAGTTCATTTCTGCTTCTGCAGGAGTCATCCCCCTACAGATCAAATCCCCAAAAAATATTACTCATTTCTCTCCCTTCCTTCTTCTTTGTTCCTCAACTTTAAAAATCACTTGGACGTCTCCAACACGTTCTCAGACCTGTAGTTCCGGTGCAGCTCCATCACTCTCTCCTCCAGCTCTCGTGTTTGGTTGGGGGCGAAGTGGAACTCACTGACGTAGTCGGGGCCGTGTTCCTCAGGGTCATAGTCTCCCAGTTCGGCCTGAACCGTGTAAGAGCCCAGCAGTGCATGAGTGACAAACGAGCAGGGGAGGCGACCCGACAGGATGTCATCTCTCAGCTGCAGACACAAGTAATACCTGAAGAAACACAAAAGGAGAAAAAAAAGATGGATGCTGCTGCTGCTAACGCTTGACTTAATGGGTTGAATCAAAAATGATCAAAAACATCTGCCAGGTAGGGTTTTGCTCTCAACGCTTTGATGTCCGAAACAGAATTTTAACCATGCTAAATGTCGGTGAAGATGTAGGATTCTAGAACTAAAACAAACAAAAACAATGCAACAGTAGCCTTTAAGACCTCTCAGTTCGACCACAAACCTTGCTCGTAAAAAAAAAAAACTACAAAAAAAAACTACAAAAAACAAACAAAAAAAAAACAGATAAAACATTCTAAATCAACATCTTTGGTCTGAAACTAGAAACCACATAGCGGTAACAAAATGACCCCCGCACGCACAAATGCACCAGAACTCAGAAGTCTTTATTCCTAATAAATGTCATGCTACTAGTTTTGAGCTATTACCAATTTTGTATGTCCAGATACCCCTTTTTCAGATAAATTGGGGGTCGGGGGTGGGGGGCACTGATTGGTGGGCCTGATGGTTAGAGCTTCATCAGAGCTAAACAACCAAAGAAATTTGAAGCTCCTATGTTGAACAGTTTCTGAGTTATAACAGTACGAAAACAATATGACTCCCGCTTACGCTTCACGTGCGGGAGTCATAGTTATGTCGCCTAAATTTCTTGAAAACTGGTAAAAAGTGATTCAATCAATCTTTTCGGGAGGAAGAAAAAAACGTATCAGACAAAAAACAAGCTTTTGCTGAATTGGTTTAAGAATATTTAGGAGTTTATCAGGATTTGTTGTGAGAAGCCTTCGTCATTACATCCAATCTTTTTTTTTTCTTTTTTCTTTTTTTTTCTTTTTCTATTGTACAGTGTCCTTGGGTGTCCTGAAAGGCGCTTTATAAATAAAATTCATTATTATTATTATTATTATTATTATTATTATATTCAGTACAAAAAAGTTGCACTCACTATGTTTTGGAGTTGAATTTAGAGTTGAGTATAGTAATAATAATTGACAGAATTTGTATTGTGCTTTACATTTTTCAATCTCAAAGTGCTACAAAATCCAACCATCTAAAAAAGCTAAAAAAATAAATATACTAAACTAAAGATGATTGATTTTTTGGAATTCATTTGCATGGTGCTGATTTAGTTTAACATGGAAGCACAAAGTAGATAGATGGCAAAAGCTTTTCTTGTCAGAACTGACTTGACTTTTAAAGGCAAGCATACAACTGTTTCCTGGCAGCTGTACAGAAGAAGGCTTGGTTTAAAAAAATACATAAACAAAAGACTTAATTCTGGCCAACAGTCTTTCTTACAAGGTTTTAAGTTTAATCTACCACCACATAAACTTTTTTTACAGTAAGTTTAGCTTGAAGTATCTGGGCCCTCTCTGTGTCCCTTAAAAACTGGAATGCCTCTTACAAAAATAAAAATCACAAAAATTCAGAAAACAATAAGAAGTAACAATATAAAATTAAATTAAAACCACAATTATTTTTTGGTTTGTGTGTTTTGTTTTAATCAGCTCTACCTGGTGATGTCTTCAATTAGCACAGACGGGTCTGGGGGATAGAACTTCACAGCAAACCCAAAAATCCAGGAACCGACTGTGAACAAATCATCATCAAGGTTGCTTTGTAAAGAAAATCTGCAGAGTAAAAAAAAATATGTGTGGATTTTGTCAGAGCACAGTTTTGTCTCCTACACTTACCTCGAATCTGTTTCTTTATCTCTTTAGAGGGATCCAACCAATTCTGAAGAGCACAAAAAGAGAAAATCTGCTTTGAAAAATTCTACCAACACAAAATCATCCACATTTAAACTTCTAGAGCCCTACTAGAGAGTCTGTCCATTAACCCCTGTTGAAGTCTGTCTCCCTTGCCTAAAGTAATAATGCAAGAGGTTTTATAAAGGCTTTTAATCGCAGAAAAGACTAAAAATGTAAGATGGTTCCATTTTCTTTGTCATTACAGTGTCACTTTATTAGATGTTGTGGACTTTAAAAGGCCAAGCTGCCCAATCACTTCCTAAAATGTTAAAGGTCATAGATGTCACTCTTTGGCCATAAGTGGATAAACACTTCAAAGGGCAATCGGGGTCTCACTGACAGGTGGGTTAGTCCGTTGAAAGACTAAAAAATGGCTCCAGCATCAGTGAAAAGAAAACAAAAACAGTAAAAGGTCCAGCAAAGAGCATTTACTAAAAAATAATAATAATTTAAAAAAACTCACTAAATGCAATTTTCAACCACAAAATCCTCTGAGTTCTCTTCAAGGCTAAAGCACTTCAGTTCCTCCTCCAGGTTGTTAATGGTTGCTGAGGCCATAAGAGATAAATGCTCATAAGGTTTTGTTCAAAGCTCATTGTGAGGACATAAAAATGTAAAATATTGTACATCTTAGAGCAGCGGTTTGCAATCAAAATGAGGATTTCTTTTCAAAAAACATTACACAGAACATCAAAGTATTTTGACACAAGGCTTTGTGTAAAAAAGCTTTCAAAGACCTGAAAGCATTTATTCAGAGTCCCTCATACCGTGACCTTAAAATCCTGACAATATACAAATGTTTCAAAAACCTTTTACATTTTCAATTTCTAGAGAAATACAAAACAAAAAGTAGTTGACAATGGCTTGGAAAAATAAAAGCCAGAGTAGAAGACCACTTTACTAACTTCCTGTAGTGGTTCGCTGTCCTGGAAGGCTTGATGCCTGCTTGAAAAACAAGTAGAAATACAATCTGTGCTGTTAATTTTATATTTCCGTCCTTTTTTCTAAAGCACTGTAACTAGAAATGTTTTATTATTGGCATGACTGATTATGAAAAACATAATTATCTTTGCTGAAGCTTATAAAGTTACTGTTGATTGAATTAGTGTTGGTTCTCAGTCATTCATAATGCAATCCTTGGAGTTTTATAGATAAAAGCATGTCAAATATCACTCCAGGTCTGCAAGGAACAACCGTTATATAAACAAGACTAGCACTAAAACACAAAGTTTGTTCCATTTTTATAAGTGTAGCCAGGGCCGGCCAGTGGAATAGTTAGTATAAGCGAATGATAAGGGCACCATCCATCTAAGGGGCACTGCAAATGGGGGATGAAAAAAACATTTTATAACTTTTTTTATCAAAGTATAGTTGATTTTGTTTAGAATAATCACTGATTACTCAAGTCTTTTAAAGGTAGCTTGTTCTACCCCCTCGCGTCAGTTATTAATGAGATGGAGGAGGAGGAGTGTGTTGTCATATTTTTGAAAAGAGTAGGAAATGCATGACAACCAACCATCCCAGACCCTAAATTTAACTTCTATTAGCCATATAATCCTATCTCTAACAGTACCTAAAATTAACCATTAATCCTGATCCCTCATATTAACCACAGACTCCCAACCCAAAGACCCCTATGTGGCGAAACCTGGAAAAGCTGCGGGTGTGAATAACCGACGAGAGGGGGTTACCTGACGCGGCAAAACTAGACGCAGCTGGTACCTGACTAAACGTTAATATGTTGACGAGTCAGGAGTGAGAATGGTTGCTTAATCCCAAGAATTTCTGAGGAAGCCCCTAGCAAATGTTGACAGGTATTAGGTAGATTTTTGGTATTCTGTTTCAAATGAACTATATTGTTAACTATTTTGACTGGACAACCTGATTTCTTAAGATTAAAAAACTAATATCAAAAACAAATCTATTTCATTTGGTATGTGAATGTATGTAAATTGTGAGGAAGCTTTAGAAAATTGCACAAGGGGTGCCACCTTCTTGCCTAAGGCACCAAATTGGCTAGAACCATCCCTGAGTGTACAGAACAACTTTGTCTTATGTTTGTTATGTTAGGGTCTCAAAGTGTATATATATATATATATACACTTTGAGACCCTAACAT